TACCCTAGCTGCACTGATGAGGCCTGGAAGGCCGAAACGGATCCGTCTGCAGATATTGGGATTCCCTCCAGAGGATGCTTAGTTTATTTTGTCATTCTGATCGGATTTTCTCTACTGTTCCGTTTTAATTTTAAATTGTTTTGCATTATGTGGCCGTTTGCTGTTTAATGGGTTCTTCCCATTTGCCTTTTAAAATTTATATATATATATAATATTATTTATATATATACGTATATACAGACATAATATATGTACACGTATATATATGTATATACGTATATATACATATATATATATACGTATATATATATAGGCCTACATATATATATATATATATATATATATATATACGTATATATAAAATCAAACGAGTAGGTGGCTACAAGGAACAATAAAGGGCGTGAACTGAATCAGATCTAAAACAAAAGCCATCAAAATGAGTCATACAGATAGGAAGCCTATTCTGTATAATACGGATGGAATTTAAAAAGGCAAATGGGAAAAACCCATAAAACAGCAAACGGCCACATAATGCAAAACTATTTAAAATTAAAACGGAACAGTAGAGAAAATCCGATCAGAATGACAAAATAAACTAAGCATCCACTGGAAGGAATTTCAATATCTGCAGACGGATCCGTTTCGGCCTTCCAGGCCTCATCAGTGCAGCTAGGGTATATACATAATATATACATATATATACATAAATCAAGGTAGCCGTTAACACTGTTAAATCATATATAAATCATCAAAGAAAGGTAAATACAGTGTTCGAATAAAGGACTTAATGAATACATCGTGTAGCATAGCTCTCAACGAATGTATAGTCCTGTAAATAAATGAATAAAGAAATTGTGTAATAAAATGCCTCTGGCGAGACTCGAACCTGCGACCTCTCCCTGTCAAGGCGAGTGTCATAACCACTAGACCACGGAGGCTTCATGGTTGAACAGATTCAAATACCACTAGATACACTCTATTAACCTAACGCTGACCGTTTATCGATGAAAGTTTGTTTTTCAATTATCTCAATTGCTTTAACAACAGTATAATTGTTTTTTAAAAACTGTGTCATCAGCTAGCCGACATATTTTTATGTCATTATCATTTCTTATATGTGTATCCAAAATTTCTACCACTAATGTAAATAGCTGAACTGATATTGGACAACCACTCTCTAAATTGAAGTACAGTATTCTGAAAAATATCCTTTGTTTATAATGCAACTCTTCACACCTGAATATGATAGTTTAATCCATTTATAAATTCATCACCAAAATTGAATTTCTGTAATACTTTATACAAGAAATCTCTGAACAGAATCAAAAGCTTTTTCAAAGTCTACACAAATGAGTGCCCCCATTGATTTTTTTTTTCGTTTTCAGCAAAGGTAATAAAATCCTCAATGAGCCTTATGTTTTCTCCAATACATCTTTTATGAAGCAATCTTGTAGTCATATTTAGGAGACAAATTTTTCTCCCTTTTTTTTTTTACAAATAATAATAATCCCAATTTTTTGGGATTCAGACAGCTCTCCATTGCAAGAACTTTCACGATAAAATTCTACCGGTATGGCATCAGGCTCTGGAGATTTAATTTAATTTTGAATAGTATATTTTAGCATTTATCATTTAACTGGCCATCACGCGTCTCACTTTTTTTTTTTGCGAGCTGCTTATTTATTTGCTTTAAATAATTCTTTATTGCTTTACTTTCAATTTTTTTTTTGAAACAATTTAAAAAAAATAAAAGTTAATCTACTTTTTGAGCACATCTGATGCTTATTATAGTCCCATCTTTCTTTTAAATTATATTTATTTCCTTTTTAATAGCTCTGGACTTTTCTAATCCAAGAAAATACTTAGTATTTTTCTCTCCCTGTTCAGACCATTTTCTCTTGATCTAATTTGGGCCCCTTTTATTTGTGTAATACATATCTATATTTCCTGTTATTTCATTAATAATTTTATGTTCTTCCGTCTTATCGTTACTGTCGAATATTTTTTTGCTTATTTCTCTGATCTCGTTTTCCATTTCTTTAATTTTATTATTATTTTGCTTGGCTTTTTTTTCCCATACTTTATAGAGAATTATGTTATTGATATTTAGATTCTCTTCCGAGATTATTTCAAAAAGAATGGTATACATTGCCATCCCAAATCATTTTTAATTGTTTTAATTTATCTTTTGTTAAGTGGGTTTCCTGCATAAGTATAATACAGCATCACCTTTTTGCTGGTCACACCATATAAAAATTTTCCTTTGTTTAAGGCTGTCTCGTAATCCTCTTACAATAATAGATGTGATTCTGGAAGTCTAAAAAGCTTCTTGCTGCTCGGATGGTGAACTGAAATACATTCAAGATTAAAAACATGATTCACATTAGTGAAACGTGTGCCAGTGTATGTACTGCCAAGGTTTATCCCATAAATGTAACAAATAATGTGAATACCAAGGTAGCTAGATTTCTTTTATTTTGTAAAATGTTAATGATCGTTTGACAGTTGGTACGTTCCATTATAATGACAATACATGTACTGGCATTATATTGCTGCCACAATACTAGGATAACGAGACTTTAAATTACACATACAAAACTTACCTACTGCACTGAATTGTGCATAAATTTGTTTATGTACTTATTACAGTATTATTATTACCACTACTACTGACACTAAATCAATAACGTTTGAAATGGCTAAAAATAAAAAACAATGTCAATAATGACCCTGAAAAGGCTTAATCAACTATGTAACAACATGAATGTATTGTCGGATACTCAACTTCGATGAGGTGTCTTGTACCATTTTAATTTCATGCATTTTAATGTAAATACTGTACAGTACAAGTAGTCTTAACTCTTAGAATAAAGCCCGCTTTTATCACTTAAACGGTCTTACTAAGTCTTTGCTTAGACTGCTTTGATTATTGAAACGCAAAACAAGCACTCCTTGGTAACATAAAATTGAGGGCGCAGTTACACATACGTCACGCTTGCTGTACATGTACATGCATCAAAACATAAATAAACGTTGACGGTTTTTACAGATGCTTAGAAGCTTGCGGAATATTTGTTTGATTCTTGGCCTTTTACGATCTAGGTCTAGTACTTGTAAACCTATGACGAAAATGATTTAAGACGTTATCAATCCTCCTCCGAGTAGGCTTTAAAATTTAAGACGGCCAACTGGTTAGACCACGGTGTAGAAATGGTGAAGTAGTGAAGTCACGATTATAGCCAGCTAAATGTTAGCACCGTCTCAAGACAGCTTATAGCAATCCGCCCCTGGTATTATATTTTAACTACAGTATTATAAAATAGATAAAAAATATAACTGAAACTTCCAACACAAAATACAGTATCCAAATTAGGTGCTGTGTTTGTTTTAATATATAAAAATTTGGTTAGAAGTAACATTATGATTTGATTACAACGAAACATACTCTTGCTTAACAAAATTGTTTAAAGAACATCACATTCTGTCAGTCTTACAATCAGTTATACAAATAAAAAAGGATCTTCATGTGATTTCCAGCAGGCAATGAACATCTACATATGAAATAAAACATTGAATCACTAACGGCTGTAGCTATTTATACATTGCACCATCTTATTAACTTAACAGTGCACAATACAGCCTAGAACAATTAAAAACACCTCAATTGACTGTGCATGTCACCCACAGAAATTCAGTAAACAATTGGCTTAGAAACCATAGCTGCCACCCATCATGTTATTTCCACCACCTATGCCACTGCCTCCAGAGCTGTAGAAACTGTTAGATCCCATACCGCCTGAATTGCCTGTAAAACAAACACACAAGACTAGCGTTTGGCTTCGTAGATCTGCAACAATCTATCTTAAGAATCTTCTAAATATCAGGTCATTCGCAAATTCAACCATTGGAAAAACAGCTTTAAGCTTCATCCACATCAAATTTTTCTTTTATAAAAAAAAGCTGTTATATGACCATAATAGTCATGATGTGCCTGCCTATATATGGTCATGATATGTTGTCATTGTGACCATATTTAGGTGTCACATATAACATTTGTGTCTATGTGGTTTGAATAGAGGGCCAGATTAGATCACCTTGGAAACCACTGTCATTGTCATAACCTGATGAATAACCACCTCCAGATGGTGCATCCATCATGCTGCTACTATTTCCATAACCTCCACCACCACCACTACTTCCGAAGTCATCTGAAAAACCCCTACTGCTGCTGTTTTCTCCGTTAGAAAACTCACGACCTGAAATAAACAAGAAAAATGATTTTCTATTTGAGGGGAAATCAGATATTCAGGCTCAAGTATCTAAAAATGGAATTGTATTTTCTGAAATAACCAAGAACAAAGGTTATATATCAATATCAAAATACAAGAAATGTTCCTTAAACTGGTGAAATTATTATTCAAAATATTTAAGGTGATTTCTATTTATTTCACTTACTGTAGCTTCCCCCACTGCTGCCGCCGAATCCTTTACCACCACCTCCTCCACCACCACTTTCACCACCTTCACTAGAGTTGAGGAACAGTTCAATGTAGCGCGGTCCAAGGTACTGTTTGTCTTTCGCCATAGCTCGCTGAGCATCAGCGTGGGTTGCAAAGTCAACGTGTGCTTCGCCCGACGGTCGGCCATATTTCTCTGTGATGGTTACCCTGACTGGTGTGGCAATGCCTCTGAAAAACTAGCACATAGACATACATAAACAATTGACAATAAAGTCTGTTAGAAACTGAAAAAAAAAATTAGAATATTTTAGTTGTTGACATACCTCAGTAATATCTTTCTCCTTGGCTTCAAATGGCAAACCTCTCAGACGTACAGAATGATCAGTCGAACTCTCATAACTTTGTCTGTCACCTCCACCAAAACGTCCACCACCACCACCACCTCCATAGCCTGCAAGTGAAGACATTTTATAAGAAGTTGTATTGAGTACACTCTTTTAATAGAGCTTATGCACAGTACCAGAAGATGAACAATTGCTTGCAAGTTACTCTTTGACTATTAATTACCTCCTCCTCCCCATCCTCCACCACCACCTCTTCTACCTCTTCCACCTCCGCCTCCACCGTAACCGCCGCCATAACCATCATAATAGTCGTCATCATATCCACCTCCAAATCCTTGAATAAAACAAAATAGAAGTAGATAATCATAATAAAAATAATAAATGGGCATTTTTAAAGCGCTCTATACAATAAAGTCTCAGTGCTATCATATTTTTTACATACACACACAAAAAAAATGTTTTCATAGAAATACCAGATTACAAATATATTTGAGGAACTTACGATCCATGTTTCCACCTCCTCCTCTGTACCGTCTCTCAAAACCTGAGCGTTGGCCACCACCACCACCATAGCCTCTCATACCCCCTCCACCACCCATACCCATTCCACCACCACCATACCGGTTGTAAGGGGTGGGTCTCATGCTCATGAGAGGCCTTGGCTTGGGCATTGTTGAACGACGCACCTCATCTAAGTTGCTACGGAAGATCTCAATGTACCTGATGCAAACGAACCAAAATTCAACGAATTAAAACCATGCTCATTAAGGTTTCTCGTCTAATGATGTTAACAAAAAATAAAATGAAATTATAAAAATTATATTAATTACACTAATAAAGTATTAAAATGAAACTAATTTACCTAAACATGAAAATTATATACTTTTAGTTTAAGTTTTATACTATACTTATAAAAAAAAATTTGAGCAAAAATGGTATGTAGCTAGCATTGTTTAACAGTTATTTTTAATTTAGCAGTAAAAGCAACATTCTGATAACAAGCGATACAATCCCAGGTAGAACATGTAACAAATTCCAGCCACCTTGCAACTTTTACATTATAAATATTTGAGGTTGTTATTGTCTCTCTTGTTCTCACCATGTTTTTCAAGAACTAAACATTAATTGGCAAAATGCAATAAATTTAATAGATATTAATATATCAAATATGAAAATGATCTCCCTTTCAATCCAATTTTTAGCAGCATATTTCTAAAAGGTGTACCGAAAAAAAAGTCATAGAATATACTGTAGGGATTTATATCTTAGAAGCGAAGATTGCATTCAATGTGTGTAGTATTATAATATAAATCAAAATCTAAGAAATCCTAATATAAAAATAAGACTAAAACAAGGTAGAAATGAGTGTCAGAAGCTGTGTTCATACTATTTAGTTTTATGGGACAAATTCACAAGACTTGTATGTTATGACAACATCATGACAATACTTGGTAAAAATCATGCAATTTGTCACTTAAAACCTATTTGCATGGACAAAACTTATCAGGTGAAGCTAACGGCCCCATTGGTGGTAAATCCCTGATACCATGGTATATAACTAAAGATTTAGAATGCTTTAGATTGTTTTATATTTTGTAGACTTAATTATTATCAGTGTTGTATATTTTGCATATTTTGAAAAATCAAAACACCAAATAAAAATTAAATACCCTTACCTGGGTCAAGGGGTGTAGTGTAAATAATGAAATCTAATAAAATTAGCTTTTAGCTTCTTTTTTTTAACCAAAAAATGATTATAATTTTGAACAATTTTGAAATGTAATGAAATATTTCATTAGCAAGGTGCCAGTGTAAAGTGAAAAATCAAATGACATTGTTTCTAAAGGCAATGATTAATACTATGTAAAAGTTAAAATTTTATGCCTACTAAGAGTTCAAACCTGGACCACAGTTATATGTGTATTATACACAATCAAATTATTCTTTGCCAACTGAATAACAATTACAAGTAATTTAGAAAAACATAAACCTGGGCTATTAAAAAAAATAAATCATTACAGAGTTCACTTTAGTAAATAAATTAACTGGTCCAAGTTTGATTCACTATTATAGGCAGATTTAAATATCCCTAATTGTATTAGTTCAGAAAGGGTCACACAACAAACCCATGATGTAAATCAAGGAAAGAGAAAGATTGAAAAATCAACGGCCCAAGAGTCTGGCGCCCTCAGGCTCCCAGGAGCATGATACCCCCTGGTTCCCAGGTGACCATGTGCCTCTTTTCCAGCCTCCTTGGCGTCCCACCTGTGCCCAATTTTTTCCTTGTTTTTCTTTAGTGCCTCTTCAGCAATCTCCTTCGAAGAGAATTGCACATAAGCCTCCCCCGTACTCCGCCCCTCGTAGTCCGTCGGCAGTGATATCCCATTCGCCAGGATCTCCAACCCTTGAGGGCCAACCCAAGAAACGAAAGAGGAATCAGTCATCGGTTACCATGGCAACAAACACATCATGTACCCATAAATATTCAAGAAAATCATCAAACATTGAAATAGTTATTATCGGTTGCCTAAAATCAAAATACAAAAAACATGAAGCAATGTTTTCTACAAATGTTAAAATATTATTTTCATTGCATCATTAAAATGCATAATTAATGTAGTTAACAAAAGTTATAATTTTATCATAGTTTACACAAACATAGGCATAAATTACATATGAAAATTGTCATCTTTAATTATATCATTTGCAAGTCACTATTCTCGCCCATAAGGCTGCAAAGCGACATCAACTTGACTGGTCATCAAACAATGTGAATTTAAAATCAGCTAAGGAAATTATATTTTTAATACAATACTGTCAGTAATCGTCCAATGTAAGAACCTGTCGAGTCTTAAAAACTTACTAGTATTTCTCATTATGTCTTCCTCATGGAAAATAGTCCAAAGCATAGTCAATGCTGTATACAATAATGAAGCTGATTAAAGTCATTTAGACATTATCAAAGTTAATTAGCAAATACTGTAGATTTGGCACTAACCATTGAAGAACTGTGCTATCTCTTCCTTTGAACATCCAAACGGTAGGCCTCTTAGTCTGACACAACCATCATTATCTTTTAAGGAGTGCAGACCACTTCGTTTGGTAACCCAATCCATCTCGCTCTTCTTTGATCGGAAAACTTCAGGTAAAAAAAAAGTCTTCATTGATTAAATTTAATCATTTTATTCTACTGATACATAATATATAATACTGCATTATTCTTTTAGTTTTGAATGCAAGTACAGAACCATAAAAACCAGAAAACGTAGATATAAGGTCCAATCGCTATTAAAAAAGGTACTTAAAAATGGATTAAAGTTATCTTTCTGGTTGCTTACTCCACTTGTGTGCACAACATTATATTAGTCCAGAGATATATGCACAGGGCTCGATTTGACTCTTTTTGGCAACTACGTAGCCCAGTGGGCTAATTGACTAGGGGATTTAGTAGCCCACAGAATATTTTACTAGCACAGAGACAGGGAACAATTTTGTTTTAATATATTGATTAATGACAATTAAATTTGAAAATTGATTAGGCCTAGCATTTTATAATTTGTGTACAGTAGCAATCTTTCATGGATGTTAATAATGTTCAATTAAAAAACTAATACAGAAAAGGACTCAAAAGGCATGAACTGACCATAGGTAATATGTTGATTTTTTAACGTACTAAAAAATCGCTGTGCTGTAAAATCAACTCTGGGATATGTAAATCTGTACTCTAATATTTAACAATGCAACTGTTTGGGTCTCAAGTCACTCACCCTAGAAATCTAAACTAGCCTACAACTACTAGGCCTAGGTGATGAGGCTTACTACAGGGCCTACAGTAGGCTAGCCTACCTGCATAGCATTAAAGATAACCAGTATTTAATTATTGAATATAGAAGTTGAATATAAAAATTATCATGATGACAAAACAATATGAATGCAAGGTAGTAGTATAAATGCCTACCAGATTGAACAGTCTATCTTCTGTTATGATAACCATGCCTAAACTGTAGCCTGTGTTTAGTGAATGACTTGCGGATCATTTTAATAATTCAACACTCACCGCATGGCAATAGCTTAAAGCTAGCTACAGTGTACTGTCTGGGATTCGGTACTTCATGCAGGGATCATCTCCCAAAATGTTTTTTAAAGAAAATGTTTTTCTTTCTTAATTAATTTTTCACTAGACAACCAGGCAAACATGAAGAGGTAAATAGGCTAGCCCAGAGCAGTTTTTACTAGACACCAGGATAGTACTAAAACAAGCTTTATATTTATTTTCCACCAATCAGAATGCTCTACTTTATCTTCATTGAACAAATAATATGTTATGGTACTGTATAGTACTTAACAATGCCTTAGGTTATTATTGTTATTAAATATTATTATTCATCTTTCACCATATTATATTAGTAATACCAGCCTTCGAATATACTATCAAACCAACCTTCAATGTATCGCTTTCCCATTGAGTTGTTGTGTTTTTTCAGCGCGTGTTCAACATCTGGACTACCCTCAAACTCTACAAAACATTCACCACTAAATCGGCCTTCTGGGGTAAAAGTGTACTTAACGCCGTCCTTGCCTCCTACTATTGAACATCCTGCAACAAAGCATTAATTTCATAGAAATAATAAATAACCTAATAATAAATATTGATAAAAAATACACTTGTTTGTAGCCTCATGGTCTTGTCAATGAATATACTGTGGCATCAATGCACTTTTAATTGAATTTTTAAAAATTACATGTTTAATGTAAATCTTGCCATTAGCCTTAGTAATTTCCAAAATAACCATCAGTAAAATTTATAAAATGAAGTTAATTCTAGAGGCGAGGTATGTGAAATACCCTAATGATGGGGAAGGAGTAGGGTAGGCTTACAGTACAGTACTTTACTTCATTAATAGGCAGAGTTTAAACATCTCGCCCTGGGCCAAAGGGGTGTTGAAATTTTCCGTAGCATTCTAGTCAAAACGGCAATAAGTCGAAACGGTAATGACCAAACGGCAAAAAACCAAAACGTAGACACTTTTTGACTAGAACGGCAATGAACCAAAACAGCAAGACCAAAATAGCAAATAGCATTTAGTCAAAATGGCAATTAACTAAAATTATTGAGTAATAATAATAATAACATTAACAATTTAACATACAAAGTCAATAATAAAAAGATTAGCGAAAAATTATAAAGACAGTAAACATTCAAATAAGTAAAACTTTAAAATACAGACAAAAGGAGACTAAACAATTTATGTCATAAATGTAAAAAAGCAAAAAATAAACCATAATAAACATGAAACGATTAAATACGGTAAAAATGAGGCTCAATTGTCATAGAAGTTAAAAAACAGTTTCCAAAATTATTCAGAAAAACAATTTCAAAACGATTGAGAAATTGATAAATTGTTGGCCCACGCCCGGTGAGGTGCCTGAGTCGCTCGTCTTGGCATCATTGATTTTGCTCCTTTGCCGTTTTGGTCTATGCCTGTTGCCGTTTTGGCACTTAGGCCAAATAAAAAAATATACTTGTTAAGCGTCACCGCCCGCCCCTGATTTTCCTGCCGCCCTCTTTTTTTTTTTCATCAACTAAAAAATGTAGATAATTGACAGAAAATGACTGTTTTTATTCATCTTCAGTGCAGGAAACAAGCTGAGAGGTGCGCCACCAACATCAACACATGTACTGTCACAGACATCGGTAGTAGTATGTAGGCCTACCTAGGCCTAGTACATGTTTAATTTGGTTGTGATTTTTTTAGATAATAAACAATTTTTTGAAAATGATAATACTCTACATTGAGACAAATAAGGTTTGTGTTACGATCTAGACAGCTACGTAGCTTCAATTGGCCGATGTTTCAGGCCTAGGTTGGCTAGTAACTAGGCCTAGCTACAGTACCAAATGACTAGGCCTAGGCTAGGCGGCTAGCCCTGCCTGGCCCTCCCCCCCCCTAGTCGAGAAAGTTAAGACAATTCACACACACAATCGTACATAGACTAGGCCTTTCCAAAAATAAATATTGTACAAACATATCTGTTATGTACCTTGGTTTGACGACGTGGGTAAAAATTAGTTTCTGTTATGGCCAGTTTCAGTCAAAGTTTTTGGCTTGCCACCCATTCATACAGTTATTGAAGCTAAGAAATCCTAGGCATAGGCTGGCAAAAAATTGCAATTCTTTGCTATGACAATTTATAGGCTGCATATATAAATGATCCTAAATGTGTTTCTCAATGTTTAAAAAAGATGTACCGACTGAAAAGCCGAAAACCGTGCAGAGATATAAATCATGGAGCAAAAAAAAAAAAAAAAAACCGCCCCTGAAAATTTTTGAGGGGGTGACGCTTAACAAGTATTTTTCTTTTATTTGGCCTTATCATTGCCAATTTGGTTCATTGCTATTTTGGTTGTCATTGCCGTTTTGGTTTATTGCCGTTTTGACCTGCTAATGGATAAACACACACCATGGATATTCTTCCGGCATGACATACTGCATTAGATAGACTGAAGTTTATTGTTAGACAAAACATTTTTTAATCCTTTATTCGCGTACTTATTTATTTAAAGACCATCAGAGGTTGGCGAAATAAAAATAAAATTTTGTTTTCTTATTTAGAATAGATTTGCCAAAAACATCCAGACGGAGGAGAAAATAAAAATAAAATTTTATTGGTGAATGTAAAATGGGATGGTTATAATATGCTTCAATTAGGAAGAAATATACATCTTTCGGAGCAATATTCACAGCCTGAGTCACAGCCAAAATAAATCTCAGAAATAATGAAAGATCAAATTGAAAATTAATACATGAAACGTACCTTCAAAGAAATTTAAAACATCATCAATTGTGGAAGCCCATGGGAGTCCACGGGCACGTATAACAAAGCCTTCTGATTCGCCCATGTCGGGATGATGCTCGCTGTCTCCTTGATATTCTGCCATCAAAATGTCATTTAAATTCTCGTTTACTATTTTTTTGTAAGGGAGATAATGACATGAATGTTACTACAGTAAACTGTCGTGTTAAATCTAAACTGCCTATTAGTATTATTAATTAACAGAGAGTGAAGGTTTCTGTATTCTTTTGCATGATTCATTGGGTTTTTTTTTAGAACAGTTTGTATCAGTGAAAGCTATTTTACGTCCATTTGATTTTGATCGTTTTTTATAAAGCTAATCAATATTTAATTGTGTAGACACAGCCTAAACAGTACGTCTTATCATGTGTATAAAATGTGTGTAAAATTAGTGTTTATAATATATCTGCTTGCTTAATCTATGCCTATATTCCTGTCTCTTATACACATCTAGATGTGTATAAGAGACAGCATTAAATGGTTTGAACGAGCAAAACTCAAAAAGTCCCTTACTGATTACTTAAAATATAAAGGTGAACCAAAATTAGAAAAATATCTATTAGATAAAACCAATTTTAAGGGAGCTAATCTCAAATTTAAAATTCGTACGAATTGCTTAGACTTGGAAGGCCGTAAAGAATCATGGAATACACATAATACAGGTCTTTGCCGAATATGTGAAGGAAACCAAAAAGAAACAATAGATCACTTTCTTTTTGAATGCCCTAAGTTAAAACAAAAGAGAGATTTAATATTCTCTGAATTGGAAGAAGAGCTACGTAATAATAATTTATACATTCATTGGATCAATTTTATTAATGGCTCTAAAGATTTTAAGCATCACATGTTTTTAGATGATCTCTCCAATATAAATGAAAAACTTTCAACCATATTTGATAAATATTGTAAAAAATATATTCAAATAGCATGGAATTTGAGACTCAATATATATAAAATTGTTACCTAAGGAAGTTCAAATTACCTAAATACCACCTCTATTCAATATCATTTTTTTTTTTTTTTTTTTTTTTTTTTTTTTTTTTTTTTTTTTTTTTTTTTTTTTTTTTTTTTTTTTTTTTTTTTTTT